GGAGAGGCACCAACTTAATTATTTACAAATCTAGACCCCCTGTATGTTATTGTTTACATAAGGAAATTTCGCGCATGCGTACAATGCTGGAGGGCAAAAAGGCTATTCCTTTACATGCCATCCATAGCCGCGCCGCCGCTGCAGAATAATTCCGTTATCTCAATCAAACTTAGACATGTAGATATTATTAATTTAGTGCTGTGCTTAACAGCAAAGGGAGAAACAACTCAAAACCACGTCTTTCTCGCTCTCTGTGTCAGCGCAGCTACTGTATAGCTAGCTCGCTGTTACTGTCTCTTACTCTGCAGTTGTGGAGTCACAATGTCTGGGATCATGAGCGCCCCCAGCGATGAGGCAGGAGAACTGCCTGCCTCACCTCGAATCTGTTCTCTGCCGTTTCTGATCGCTCCTCAGCACACGAAACACATTACATACACAGTCGGTGACAATGAAAACACAGTACATTAAATACATAAGCTAAATTATGAAGAATCAGATTATACATTACATGTTTTTAACCATTTTATTGGCGACGTACAGACAGGAGGAGCATGCTCTAATAGAATGGCAACCGATGCAGTTAGCGAGAGATTGCGCAATCCCAGGTGAGGCTCAGGTCGCTGCTGCCTCACCGACTTCCAAGCGAAAGTGGGAAAAGCTTCCAATGGGAAAATGCGAAAATTCAGCGATTTTGAAGAAAAAAATAATCAGATAAATTACATGAAAAATAGGTACTTTATAGTACAAACCACAGGGTGAAAAAATCTTTATAAATGATTTTATTACTATATATTATATTTCCATGATGACAGGTGAGGCTTTGCCTCCCCTGACCGCACGTCACTGAATATATAAATTTCGATTTAATCGTATAAATAGATTTTTTTGATTACTAAAATAATTATTTACAGTAACCCCACTTTGATATAAATTTTTTTAACTTTGGTATTTTTTTTTAAGATGGTAAATGGATGATTTAGTACAGACTTTGGAAAAATGTAGGTCTAGCTCCATATCTAAACCTACATTTCTTCCATGGACTACAGCTGCTGGTCTCATTGAGTGAATTGTTGATCTTGGTGTTCTTTCTTTCGTCTTGCGTCTGCAAGAAGCTGCACTAAACGATTAAGGACCTGTGGTTATATGGTGGGATGGGTCCGCAGGTGATGTCTGTGGTGGTCACTATCTGAGTTCTGTTCATGTTTAATTCAATTTTGTGTAGAACTTCATCTGAAGCAAAGTCTGACAGAGGGAAAAAAATATTTATGGTATTCTAGAATGCTGTGTAGGATATAAAAGTTTTTGCATTTCTTTCATTTTCATTATCTTTGGTTACACTTGGATAAATGTTGCATGTAGTTATTGCTGTTTTAATTCTTCACACATGCAAGGGCTGGCTTTCAAGAGTCAACAGTCTGATAGTCAGATGACTTTTAGCCTATCAACAGTTTGCCACCATTTAATTTACCTGAATAAAAATTGGTTCTTGGTTTAGGTAGTGTTACCCGATGTTTTACATTTTACCAAGAAGTTTAACAATTCCATGACTTAAGTTTTTATATAACTTATGAAATTTAGTCTTTTTAGCAGGCCTTTTTAAGTTTGAGAAATTAGTTGTGCTTGGGGTGAACTTTATTCAACAGTTTTTGTGTTGGTGGCTTTATGGAAACTAATGTATACATTTTATTGAAGTTGCATGACAGAAGTGCCATGCCTCCTGTTGGACCTGGTTTATTGCTCGCCCATAGAGTCAGCTGGTGGTTTATTTTATTTGAGCCATTTTGTTTTATAAACCATAGCTTGGACAGCTTTCTATTATTGCTATCCTGATTTGATACACAAAGGACTCCTGTAGTCCCCATATCTGTGATCTCTGTCCCGTTCACTTTTTTCCATTGATAACCTGTTTATCCAAGCTGTCTTTAAATGCAACATAAGATGTTTGCACCAGGTTTACACCTGTGTGGCAGACAGAGTTGCAGCTGTGCATTGGAAGCCAGAGCTGCTGCCGGTGTGCGTGTTAGTCATGGCAGCAAACCAGCAAAAGGCACAACATTTTCCAAACAAACCAAGCAAGTTGAGTAATGCTGCAGGCTGCAGCTAACGTTGGCTAAATCACTAGTTAATCCATGCCAAAATAAGAGGTCCACCAATTGAATTTTTTGCCGATCCCCAATCTTTAAAACGCCTGACCAGCCAATTCCGATTTTGGCCGATACTGACTTTTTTTTTTCTGTCTGAAATGTTGCTAAATATATGAAGAAAGTCCCTGAGCTGATAACAGTGGGGAGACTGTTAACTGCAAATGTGACCTGGTGGGTGGGTGGGTCAGTCAGTCAAACTTCTCTTGCTGCAGAGTAAAAAGGGACAGTGGGTGATTTAGATAAAATCGGTTGATAATATTGGCTTCACATGCAAGTATCGCCCAATCACCAATCTTCCAAAATGAACTAAATCAGGGCTGTTTTATCGGCGCAGCCCTAATGCCAATATGTCACATTAAGCTTCTAAACAAGAATAGGCTGCTAATTTTGTGTTCAGAGGTGAGTAGTACTGGTTGTATTTTCTTGAGTAACCTTTTGGGGAAAATGGTACTTTTGGGAGAATTTTAATGCACTGTACACTTTACTGTTACTTGAGTATTATGAACTATTACTACTATTGAGTAGAATTTCTGGATCCTCCAATACAAGTAAATTCAGTGAAAGAACATACATGCAGTCCTATTTAATTTTTCTAAATTAAATAGGAAATGTTAACATTTTCTAATATTAAATCAGACTTTTTGTTCAGTTACTCAGTAATTGAGTAGCTTTTATACCAAATAGTTTTTTACTCTTGAGTAAAAATAGTTTTCCAAGAAATTATTTAAGTAAAAATATGTTGAAGTAGAGCTACTCTTGAGTACAAGTTTTGACTCTTCTGTGCTCCTCTGCCTATGATGCATCCCTTGCTGGTTATTTAAAGTCACAAATAAACCCAATCCTCTTTTCTTGCTGTATTGAAGTTGTGCTAACTTTTGTGTTTCACATATATTAAAATAATTATTTGTCACAATAGACAAAGAATTGTTTCTTTGCCAATTGTGAAACTGAATCATGTCTAATTCAGTGTAGACATGAGGCCAGAGTCCATCAGCTGGGATGATAATGCAGGCTTTTCTCAGTTGAGGAGAAATTATAACTTTCTGAGAAAAAACTGTATCTGCTGCACGGAGAAATCAGGCAGGAATCAGGACACGGTTTTTAGAGATTTCAGAATCACTCTCATTTACACTCCAAAATATTTTTGTCTACACAGGCAGCAAATTACTTCCCTTGCATAGACTTTATTTTTCACACATCACTGTCTGATTTTTGAATTTATAGAAACAGACTTCAGAGATAGAAACATTATATTCTTAGGGATGGGAAGTATTCTTGATTGAAAATTGGATGTCACTAGACTGTTTTTTGTCCGTCATTTTGACTGACTGCCTCAAAAATTTAGCATCATATTTTATTGTAACCTGTCAATTTTTAAATCATATTGGTCTTGGCTATTCAGTTGCACATAATTTTCACAGATTATCCAGAGAATCCAGATCCCATCACACAGATGAACGTATCTAATTTTTTCTCTGCAGTGATTAAAAACCACTGACAGAACAATGACAGGGTCTCTCCCAGAAATCTGCTGAACCCTATGGTTAGTGCGTTAGGGTAGTCCAGCAGCGGTCCACATGTAACATTTTGGTGTTAAATGTTTAAAAGTTACAAAAATGCAGACATAAAAAAATCCAACCGGATCCAGACCGAGTCCATAGACATTGTGTCTGAGCCTGATCGGGTCTTACTAATTCGTTTTAATTAGAGGTCCCGGGCCGAATTAATCCTGGCATATTATTTTAAGATTTTACTGCTTTCGTATAGATCACAATTTGAGTACACAATGCATTGTCCCACATTTCCCGCTCCATTTTGTCGCTTGTTGTTACAGCAGGGTGTGTCAAGTGCAAATCTTCTATAATATGTGGTTAAAAAGATCCAAGCTCACTTATTACTTTCTGTAACAAGATAGATGGTCTGCTCCTCCTTTTAAGCAATAACAGGATTAGCTCAACTTAACGTTCTCTTTAGTTTTCTCTCTTCTGTATCTACTGTTGCCTTGTTAAATGCGCCATTTCAGCCAAAGTTTTAAATCCGCTTTTGAACCAGGCGCGCTCTACAGCGTCCTACCCATAACTCAACCTCCTGTGAGCTCCTGTCAGCAAAATGCATTTAGTTCAGTGTCCATGTCAGAGTTGATATTTTATATTGATTGATTTAGTTACCTCTGTGATGTATAGACAGATTACCATTCACCATTCATTCAAGTAATCCTCTCCCACCATTTCCACTGTTTCAGGAAGCAATGATATTGTAAGTATTCTTACATAATAAACTTATAATAATATCCTCACCTTCCTAAAATATATATTTTTTGACAAGAAAAGGACTTTAGCCATAATTTTAGGAAGATGATGGTATATTTCCTTACCTTGATATTATTACCTTGTTATCTGAAATAGCTGTATCAGCAGTTTTTTTGTTTTCGTTTTCACTTTTTCTCCAAATCTGCCCTGCGGTCATTGGCACTGTGTGTGTTTTTGTCTTCCCTTTGCTGATGTCTGCTATTAAAACTCGCTTCTTTTCTGCTTGTCAGTACAGGTGATGACCTTGATGGTGCCATGTGAATGACCTTAGACCATGAAGCCCACACACAAGCTGCTGTTTGTCCTGTGTGCCTTGCTGGTGCTGGGCTTTATTTACTACTCTTCTTGGAAGCTACATCTATACGTATGGGGACAGAAGCCTCGTAAGTCGCTCCTTCAGTCTGACATCGAACGTTAATACTCACAAATTCACCCATCTTTCTTTGTAATCTTTTTGTAAAACCTTGCATCGTCTGTCTGTTTGAGTGTGAATGTCGATCACTTGTTCTGTTTCATAAAAGCTCGGGGTGTCTGTTAATGTCTCAAACACAGTGTAGGTTTTCTTTCAGCTGATCAGAGCTGTGGATGTTGCTGGGAGAGGATTGTAATCAGATTTACCCAGAAGGCCTGTGTTAAAGCTACGTACATGTTACTCACTTTCTGCACTGGCAGATACTGACATCCACTCCTTCTGAAAGAAGGTGGAGATGATATTCACAGATTTTCACTCTGGCATAGTCACTGTTATTAATGTAACTGTCATTAAACTGTAAAGAAAGGCTTCCTCTTCTTGCTGAAACACCACAGATTGTTGCAAGTTTTGTGACACATTAACACTGAAATAAAGAGAAACTGAATTTAGCTAAAATCACACTACAGACATTTTACCCCCTCCTGCCATCTAACTTCTCCCCTCTTCTGTTTTTTTTTTTTTTTTTTTTTTTTTTTTTTTTTCCAAGGGTCACCTAAAAAATTAACCTTTTTGGGAAAAAACCCAGGGGTTTTTACCACCCCCC